CCAAAACGAACAACAAAACACATCCGAAGTCCAGCAAAACAGCGCTTAGGACCTAAGCGCTGTTTTGCTTGACCTAATAGGTCCAGCCCTGGTTTCCTTTGAACAGGCTGTCTCCGATGCCCCAACGCGGGACACACAAGAGCCTACTAGTACTATGCGTCCTCCTCGAAGGCGTGAGCCCGACCCGAACATGTAGCACAACATCTTGTAGCAGATGGCTTCCCGAGCGAAACGCCAGAGAGTGCTCGCCACGACGCAGAAAGACTTCGCGGTGCGCGCGTCGCCCCTGGGGGCGAAGGGGGGCGACGCACGCATCGTAGTAGTATGTTGGGGTGCTGCCGACAACGAGCGGGCCCAAGCGCAAAGGAAGGTCTCTACTGTCCGCGGACTCGCCTGGCCAGCTCCGAGGGCTCCGGACGGCCTCTGACTGCGCCCCGGACGGCCCCTCCCAGGGCAGCCCAAGCAGAGCCCCTCCAGAAGGGCCCCACGACAGCCCAACACCAGCCCGAGACCGCCCCAGTGCGGCCCAAGGCAGGCCCGAGACAACCTCTTCCAAGACCCCCCCGAATCCACCCACGGCCCTCAATACCCTCGAGGTGAGTCCCGAGAGACCCCAAACAGCCCCCCGGGAAACCCCAGAGAGAGGCCCGAAAGGGCAGTCCAGAAGGCATCGCGAAAGCCATTCGAAGCCAGCTCCTTGCCACGTGGCAGCGTCGCAGCGCAGCTGCGATGGCGGAAATGCGAGCGAGGCAGCGCAACTGGATGCGTATGATCCGGCACCCCCCTCCCCCGTACTCTTCACCCTCCTCTTTCTCTCCTCTTGCCATCTTGCCTGGGAGACGGAAAGGGGATGAGTGCACTAGACATGTGCCTGCTTGCCATGTTGCATGTTCGGAGTTCGGAGGACCTAATCTGCCCCATCGCGCCGCTGCCCGCGTCGAATCCGCTGCACGTCGAATCCGCGCCGAGCTCACATCGAATCCAGACCCAAATCGCGTCGGACACGAGGAAAGACAGCCACTTGCGGAGCAGACGAGGTCCCCCCGAGAACGCAACGCAGCGTTTGGGCCCCCGCCCGACCCCGACGAGGAAGCTGGAAGCGTCGCGCTTCAGCCTCGCAGCGCACAGCTCCCCGAGAAGCGACAGCGCCCGCTGCCACCGTCCGGACTTCTCGCACGCGCCGGCCGCCGCGTTGAAGACGGAGGTATCGAGCTGCAGCGCCCTCTCCCTCAGCTCGCCTACCGACGACAGGGCCCACTGCCACTGTCCGCCCGTCTTGCAGGCGTTGATTGCCGCGCCATAGACGACAAGGTCGGGCTCGACTTTGGACATCCGCACGCTCGGATGCTCGGATGTCGGAGCCCTGGCCGCTCTTTGCAGCGACGTACAGAGGCATACAACGACGGAGACCCTGCAGGACCAGCAACACATCCAGGCCCATGCACCCTGGAGCACCATCCGAAGACAACTGAAGGGGAAGAGAAGAGGAGGAGAGTGAGAATGGTGTGAGAGGGTGAGGGAGAGGGTGGAGGAAGGTGGCAGAGGACGAGGAGGGGAGGACGGCGACGACGACGAGCAGAACAGCAGGAGCTGGAGGAGCAAGATCAGAAGGAGGGGAGGGGGGAGAGGACACGACGGGGGGAAGGGGAAAGGAGGGCGTGGAGGGTGAAGGAAAGCGGAGGGGAGAGGGCAGAGGAAGGGAGGAGAGGGGAGGCAGGCCGCCGGGGCACGGAACGGAGGGGCAGGGAGCGGCACGGCACTGCAGGGCCAGAGGAGTGGGGGGGGGGGATGGGCGGCAGGAGGGCGACGACGAGCGGAGGAGGAAGGAGGGAGGAAGCGCAGGAGGCAGGGAGCGAGGAGGGGGCGGGGGGCGCCCTGCAGTCGTGGAACGCTTGGCACGCGCTCGTGCGCGTGCAGTGGGCCGAGGAGCCACGGCCAGGGCGCTCGACAGCCGAGCCTCCGCATGTCGTTGAGTAGCAGCAGGGCCTGTGGAGGAGCAGGGGGATCAGGAGATCATACACCTCGCCGATCCTGGCCAGGCCCATCCCAGGCCCAAGATCCAATGCATTCGCCCTCCTGGTTTTGGGAAGGCATCTACATCTGGAGGTAGGAAAGGGGTATGGTACTAAGGGGTGTGGCGCTAATTCTATGCGAAGGGGAATACGGCGCTGTTGTCGCGGACAGCATCGCCATTTCCACGATTGGCACCATACCCCTTTATGCCACACCCCTTTCTGACCTCCAAAATACACCGACCCGAGGCCCAGAATGGTGATGGCCGGGATCGGCATGGTGTACAGATGGCGCGCCACTGTGGAGTAGGAGCCTGGCGTTGCCCTTCTGGGCCGTTATCGCACGCGCTGAGTCCAGAGCCGTAGCTGTACAGGTCCAGCTCCAGCATCCGCTCCCGCATCTCGCCGAGGAGCAACAGGGCCTGCTCGGACTGCCCCCCGCTGTCGCACGCACTCACCGCCGCGTTGTAACCGATGACGGGAGAAGCCTCCTGCATCTACCAGTCCAGCCCAGTCCTCCACCTTATCCTCCTCCGCCAGTGCAGACAAGCCCGCTGGAGGAAGGAAGAGCGGCGGAAGGAAAAGGAGGAGAAGGAGGAGGAAGGGAAGACCTGCCCTAGATGATGCCCTGGAAGATTTAAGGGTTGCTGGGGCTGTTAATACACAGCCGTGCTTGAAATAGGTGGACTAACACGCGTGATAGCTGACCGATCAGGTTTCCGCAATTCTACGAGGAACGACCCCCACCCCCTATTCGCAACCACCCCTACGAAAAATGCTCCCCATACTGCAGTTCCCCAGCGCCCTTTGCTGCCTACAGACGTCCTCGAGACAGCCAAGAACCATCCCGAAATGCCTGAAAGATGCCCGAACACTGGCTCAAGACAGCCAGAGATCACGAACCCGCCCCCGGAGGCTGCAAGATGTCCTCCAAACGCCCCGAGAGGACACTTGAGCCCCAATGAAGCCGCCACCGTGCTCAGGCATGAGTTGGAGTGTCCTCAGGTCCCTTGGGGGTATCCGTCCTCAGTCCTAAGTGCATAGAGGGCCTGGACCCAAAATGTCCTCGAACTGCCCTGGCGTGCCGCGTGACTCATAGGGTTCCCAGTGTGCCCCCGCGTGCTGTCGCATGAACGTATCCGAGCCAAGAAGACCCCAAGAGAGGCCACGAAGGCCCCTAGAGGCCCCAGGACGGCCGGAAAGATCGCTCCAAGACGCCCAAGGTGGCTTCAAGATGGCACAAGAGGCTCCCGAGACACTCCACGAGGGCTCCAAGAAGAGGGGACCGAGACGCAAAAGTCATTGATGTGTCAATAGTTGTTCGATGAGCCAAAAATTCTCGCCTTGTCGGGGTTTCGACGGTCGAAGACGGCGCAAGAGACCCCCATGATCGCCCCAAGACGGCCCAAGAGGCCCCCAAGAGGGCCCCCAAGACGGCCCAAGAGGCGGATGTCCAGCTTCACACCGCGCGCGGAGAGCTGCAGAAGTGCCCAGGAGGGAGCCGAGACGGCCCCAGGAGCGCCCGAGAGAACCCCACGACCGCCCAGGATCGCCCCAAGAGGGCTCCCGAACCCCCGACGTCATGTTTTCCACAACGTCGACCCCCGAAGGTCTCGACCGACTCCCTGGGACCAGCTTTTCATCCTAAGCCGTTTTTGTCCACGGTCCCGAAACCCAGTGAGGGACTCCAGAGGCCGAGATAATCAAAAACCTCCCGTCGTGACGTTTTTCATGACCCGAGGGGCTCTGGGCTCCAAGACAGCCCCCCAGAGACCCACCCAGACGACCCCAGGACGGACCCAGACGAGCGTTTTCGGGAGAGCTCGGCAGAGCCGCGCAATAGACGCGAGCCACGTCGGACGTACGTCGGATTTGGGTCGGAGCGTCGCTGCGCGAACGTCATCACGTATCCGACGGGGCGGACGTGCGGACCAGATAATACAACTATTGCGCGCCGCGCGAGGCCTCCCAGAATTTCATCACAGAAACAGTGCCGACAGCGCCACTCCCCAGGCCTCTCCTGGGTGCGTTCTGGTGCGGATCCAGCTGTGGTGATCACGGCAGGATAGCGGTACACGCCAGTCGGAAGAAGTAGGTAAAATCATGAAGTAGGAAAGCGAACAAAGTAGATTGGGTTCGGGCCCTCCCAGAGAATAGCAAAACAGAACAGATCGACTCTTGAAGTAGGAGGGTGCTTGACGCTGATTGGGATCTGGGATTGGGAACGACCAGCGCGTATCGGTATCTTATCTCGCCTGAGAGATAGGGGGTCCACAGCAGCATCGGTGGCACGCTGGCGTGGGAAACACCCCATCAGCGCGTCACCGAGGAAGAAGCACCATGCTTTCGGACAGAAGCGATGGAGGATCGAGGGGGTGCTTTGGGAACCGCGCCAGCTCGCAGGTTACCGGGCACTGGAGCGCATCTTGGGCTCAAACTCCTCACTGCTGCGGTGCTGCGACGGTAAGGCGGGGCGGCGGGACTTCCAGCAGGCGGCTGGACACACACCCCGATGACAGGCTGGCGCTGTAGCAGTTGCCCAACACTTTCTGCCCCTCCTGCATCTCCTGCATCTCCTCTTCTTCCTCCTCCTCCTCCTCCTCCTTCTCCTCCTCCTCCTCGTCCTCGTCCGTTATCATCATGTTCATCATCATGATCATCATCATGATCATCATCATGATTACCATCCTGATCATCATCACCATCATCATCACCATCATCACCATAATCATCATCATCATCATCATCATCATCATCATCATCATCATCATCATCATCATCATCATCATCATCATCATCATCATCATCATCATCATCATCATCATCATCATCATCATCATCATCATCATCATCATCATCATCATCATCACCATCATCATCATCAATCACATCATCATCAAATCATCATCATCATCATCATCATCATCATCATCAAGCATCATCACCACCATCATCATTATCATCATCACCATCATCATCATCAATCACTCAACAAATCAAGTAATCAATCATCAGCAGCAACCGCAGTCATCATGAGCACCACCACCACCAGCATCATCATCATCAGCAGCAGCATCATGATCATCGTCATCATCATCATCATCATCATCAGCGGCATCATCATCAGCATCACCATAATCATTATCATCATCATCATCATCATCATCATCATCATCATCACCACTAGCATCATCAACCTCATCATCATCACCACCATCAGCATCATCACCCGAATCATCACCAGCAAAAACAGCAGAAGCAGTAGCATCAGCACCCGTTTCAGCATCAGCAGCATCATTAACATCACCAGCATCATCGCCGTCATCATGAGCACCACACCACCATCATCCTCATCATCGCCATCAGCGTCAACATCGCCGCCACCAACACCATCACCATTACCACCACCACCACCACCACCACCATCATCATCATCATCATCATCATCATCATCATCATCATCATCATCATCACAATCGTCCTCGTCGTCGTCGTCAGCATCAGCATCATCACTACCATCGGCCACGTCGTCGTCTGCGTCGTCATCCACGCCATCCTCATAATCATCACCAGCATCAGAATCATCATCCTCGCCATCTGCATCATCATCATCATCATCACCATCGATGGCCACCCATCATCATCACCATCATCAGCATCATCACCATCATCACCATCATCATCATCATCATCACCAGAAGCATCATCATCAGCACCCGAACCATCATCATCATAACCATCGGCATCACCATTATCATCATATATCATCATCATCATCATCATCATCATCATATCATCATCATCATCATCATCATCATCATCATCATTATCATCATCATCGTCATCATCATCATCGTCATCGTGATCGCAATCGTCATCGTCATCGTCGTATGTTCGTCGTCGTCGCTCGTCATTGCCATCGTCGTCATCACCATCATCATCAGCAGCAGCATCATCAACATCACCGTCATCATCAGCATCACCACCACCATCACCATCGCCGTCATCATCATCAGCATCAGCATCACCATTATCACCAACATCCTCGTCATCATTATCATGAGGAGTTTCCCCACCCGCCGTTGATTTTCTGAATTGTGATAGTCGTCATCCGCATGTGTGAAGCCGGATCCAGACCGACGAGCCGCCGGCGGCAGCGATCGAAACACTGAAACCGACAACACTTCCGCTCAAGACTGTGCTTGCGGCCCGCCGTGAGCAGGGGCGGGAAGTCGAAACTTGAGAGACAAGGCGGGAGGCTCGAGCGAATAGAACGGACTCTGTGCTGCACCCCCTACGCGTCCGCAGGACAAGTCGGAAGTTCCACACCCGCTCTTGATTTTCAGGGCTGTGATACCTGTCATCCGCATGCGTATGAAGCCCAAGCGAGAGCGACGAACCGCCGTCAGCAGCGATCGAAACTCTGAAACCAACAACTTTGCCAGGCATCGAGTGTCCAAAGATCGCATTCGTTCCTACGGAACACGTCAACTGTTGGGGCAGGGAGGGTGGAAACGGAATGAGTGGAGATTTTGCCTGAAGACACCATCGACAGCGGCATCGACGAATAAATCGGCCATCGCATTACACAAAACGTTTGGGCATGCGGCGGCGCGAGCAGTCCAGTGAACATCGAGGCCCTCACGGCCCTGGAGGATCTGGTGCCAATTTACCAAAGAACGCGCATATCCCTCGGATGGGGCGACAACGCTTGGAAAGGTCCGAGGCCCCGGGCAGGAGAAAAATACGAATCCTGGTTCGGTTGCACCACATGGCTCCCCAGCCACAGCAATTCGCAATTACATGTTGCACTCCTGTCCAACGTAGAACACGACGCGCGGAGTCACATTCCCACATGTCGGATGACTGTGGTGTTTCCCATGACAAAAGGAACACGAATTTGTTGACAAGCTTTGAATATCCGAATGGACACCTGTAATATTCTATTGCCCTCGCCAACCACTGCTTGCAAGGAGGAGGGGGGGCGAGGTGGGGCCAAGGAGATGGGCACTGCCTCGGATGGCGTTGTGACCACCACGGGCAATGGATAAGCTCTTACTGGGCACCCCAGCAAGGAGCCCCAGACACCTGTCACTCTTAACCCTTCGAATCACACGACGCAAGACAGCGGGTCTAAGGAGATCCCCTTGTGAGCCTCGCAACACATCACACCAGAACACGGAGAAATCTCTCTTCTCAAAACTTTCGATAATTCTTCAGGGCTCGAGAAGACCTCGATACAAAAAGAACTGACCAGCTTTGGCACGGGAAAGCGGAAGGCGGAGCCTCTCTGTCAGGCGGCGGCGAGCAGCACGGTCAGCTCGGCCTCCGCGCGGAGGGGCTACTCGCGAGCCTGAATGGCCATCTGCGTCCACACCGCCTGGATCAGCCCCCGCTTCTCGCAGCATCGGACCGAGGCGGGCTGCCTCCACCTGCCGCGGCGCTGGACCTCCAGCAGCGAGGTCTGCCCCGTGGACCTGTCGATCGA